GTATTTTCATATTTTCTGAATATCAAAAGTTCTCTCTATTTTTTCTCTCGTTTGCACAGTTCATCTCCCATACTGTTCAATGAATCATATTAATACATAATCGGTATATAAACAAAGACGCAATTGTCGTTGACGACAAAAAAAAGTAATAAATTGAATGCATGCATTGTCCTAAATACTCACATGAAAATTGCAATTTTTTTAGAAAAACATATCGAAATTGGGATGGATTATCAAAATGTGCGAACAAAATAAATGAAAAGAAATGAGGTCAGAGAAGAAAAAACTCTTGTCATATCATCACAAGTTCCTAACATCCCCAATCAATCAGACGATTAAAATCCTGAGCAGCCTTAAAAAGTAACTCCTTCATTCTCATTCTCATCGACTAATTTGATCGTGGCCTAAACATCTTCGTCGTGGCGTCAAACCCGCCCCAATTAAAATAGCTCTTTAGATCTTTGTGGTCCACCTTCCTGTCCCCATCCATGTTCATGACCCGAAAAGTCGCCTCCATCATACCCTCGTCGGATTCTGGCCCTTCTTTCTATTTAATACCTTCTCGCATTCATTGTACTCGATGTACCAATTCTTGTACTGGACAATGATTGAGATCACCAACTCAGTTGCATCATCGTCCGACATGCCGGCCCCGAGAACCCGTCATAGAATGACCAGAGATCGTCGGAGCTGATTTGAATGAAAAAGAAAGATGAAGACCCGTGTAGTTAGGTTGCCAAACATGTTGAAAGATTTTCGGATGAAAATATCCCACTAACATAAATTCAGCATTTTAGCTTTATTCAAAAAACGTTTGGACTTAATGAGACTATATATTCAAATATAGTAATTGTAATTAAAAATAATGTAAAAAAAAGTAACAATACTGTGTAAAAGTGCACTAAAAAAATTAACGTAGCATTTTTGTATAAAAGTAAAGTATATGTGATGAAGAAGGTAATTTTCTCAAATGTTGAATAGGAAAAGGTCATCTTTTCCACCTGCATGTTGCACCCCATGGTTGCCACGGCACGTCCGACCGTCATGCACCACCTGAAGCTTCGATGCTGCTCGAAAACTAGAGACTCATATACGATTGTCTCCCGTTGCCTTGTTGCCTGAGAAGACGCTTGGAGGAGTTGCGTGACCATTGAGAAGTTATTATAGGGTAGGCTTATAAGTTATAAGCGTGGTAGCTAAGCTTACACTTAGAATATCAAAAATATAATATGAATTAATCATGCTTGTACAATAAAGAGAGCATTAGGTAATTGATTAAATTCCAATTTATGACTAATTGGTAAACATACAATAACAGATATAAAGAGAACATTAGTAGCTGATTAAATTCCAATTTATGACTAATTGGGTAACATACAATTTTTGCAAGCAAATAATGTGGAAATGTCCCACATCAAGAAACTCAGCTATTTAAATGGTTGTACAGCTACCGATATACAAATGTAATAACTGGGCCGCTAGACCACACAAACCGTTATTGGTTTTACCGTTTCAAACAGTTCGATACCGGTTTTAGGCCCCGGCAGTACTAATCCATTGGCCTGTTCCCTGTGGAGCTGGGTAGTCCGATTTTCAGAATATTGGTTTTTTTTTATCTTTTTCATATCTTAAGTCTACAATTTATACATTAACCGCAGTCAGCTACTTGACTTGCAATTCTAACATCTATCTATTATTATCTACAATTTATACATTAAACGCCGTCAACTACTTGACTTGCAATTCTAACATCTATATATTAATATATAAAGAGATAATGATATTTACTTCAAAAATCAGTAAAAAAACATTTGGTTTCCTGCCTAAAAATATAGATTTACTAAATATAGATTTACTAAATTGATTAATTTTTGTAGTTAAAATTTGAAAAGTCCCGCCTAAATTAATGTAATTAATGTGGAGAATCATTTTGGTCAAATATTAGGGGTTATTACATTTATTAGTTACATGATTTAAATTTGGAATGCAATATATTGACAGAACTTACGGTTATTACCTTTTATAAAGTTCTATGATTTAAATTTGGTATATATTATATCAAAAAATAAAAAATATATTTAAAATTAAAAATCGAAAAAACAATTATTCATAACTTACGGGTCATATTAACTTGAATGAACGAAATAGTCAATTATTATAGTTTAATAAATTATTCAATAACTTACAGGTCAATATTAACTTTGACGTAAATGAAAAAGTCGATTATTTATACTTTAATAAATTACTCAACTACTTAATTTTTTTATTTGAATAGTTTATACAAAAATAAATTTATTTTAAGTAATGAAACAATATATTTTATATTTATACTTATTATTCACATAGGTTGTTAAATATGTGATAAAATTCTACCAAAATAACTATTTTATAGAACCACATTATAGTCAAATTGAATTTCTGAATAAAAATTGTTAAATGATGCTTATTTTGAAACAAATATAATGTAATTTTTTATTTGTAAATATTAATTAGTAATTTTTAATTTATAAATATTAATGAATATCTCTTACTCGTTCACTTCACGAGACTCACACTAGTTTTTCTTTCAAGGAAGGTGAGAATTTTCTTGTTTATCTATTATCTAAAACACATATAATTCGAAAAATAAAAAATAAAATAAAATCAAGTACAGCTTTTTCAGAACCAGTAGGCAATTGTCATGGAAACATTCCTTCAAGATATTCATCAAAGTTATCATCCTCCAGATTGTAACCGTTCTCGGAAGTCGAAGCCCTTCGTCCTGAAAAAACAAAAATAATAATCATAACAATACCAATAACAATAATCTAAATGCGAAGATGATTGCCAAAGGTCAGTTCCATTATTAGAGAAGTTATCAACAAACCATTTTATGAAAAGTTTTGAAATAAAAAACAAGAGAAAATCCCAACCTCTATTATATTTTCAATTTGGAATGTGTTCGGTAAGCACCATGAGCTACATTATAACCTAATAGTAAGTTTATAAGCCTTTTGCATTCAAATATACATTTTCGGTAAGTTGAATTTTTAAAAAGTTTGAATCTTATCTTATAAACTTTTGTAAGTAACTTTTCAAAAAAGTCTATTAGAATTTTATTTCAGTTGACTGACAATTTTGACAAACACCGCACGTATATATTAATTCGAAATGTGTTGAACTTAAGTGATAAGCTCGCATTTTTTGGATGCTGACATGACGAAATCTATGATTTGTAAATTGGTTTGTATATCAATTTTTGCTTTAGAATTAGGTTTGATATTAAACATAAAAAAACACTTAATAACTCTGCATAGTTTTGTTCATTTTTTCTCTAAACATTCTTTTTTAATTTGGGTAAGTAGCAATCTACCATTTTAAAATTTTCTCCGATATTTCTCTCGTAAATCACAAATTTACACATCACTTTGGCAAGAAGCCATGAACAAAGAGCTACAGGCTCTTGAGAAAACTCAAACTTGGGTCCTAACAGACTTACCTCCTGGTAAACATACAATAGGTTGTAAATGGGTTATTAAAATCAAATACAAATCAGATGGTTCAATAGAAAGATATAAAGCAAGATTAGTAGCTAAAGGGTATACCCAAGAAGAAGGAATAGACTACTTTGATACTTTTTCTCCTGTTGCTAAAATAACCACAGTTAGACTTCTTCTTGCTGTTGCATCTATCAAATCATGGCATGTTAGAGATGTCATCTCTAAGAGGATTAATCCAACTACTAAACACGTATAATCAGAAGGCACGGCAAAACGAGCATCCAAGATTTCTACATTCCTACCAAGTTGCTACAAAGAGGTAAAGTCTTTCAGTTTCATCCAATAGATTACCATGTTTTTGCAGTCACAAGATATCATATATAAAAATTGGACTAGTGATAGGGAGCTACTAAGTTCACCTCTACTCACCATACAAGTTCCTCACCTAAGATAAGCCCAGCTGAATTTCCTCATTAGTATTTTCATTTTTTTCTAATATATACAGATTTCATATGGACGGGAAAACACATTATGTTGGGTAATAAATTCATTCGGTTCATTGGTTTTCTTTTTCTATTTCCTAAACTAACCTGCAAGCAGAAAGGAGACACTAAAGATTCATCTTAGCGGGTTTATTCCATCTTAGCGTCCGACCGCCACAACGTCTATACAAAGGATTGCGATCGGATCTATTCATTAAAAAGGTTCTGGTTTAATTCTACCACTTAACCTAAAAAAAATAAAAAATAAAAAAAAGACGTATGACCTCACTATACTTGATTTCAACGGTCATCCATCAGACATCATATGAGACAGCCGTTTATTTATGAAAAGCTATAAATTTCCACTCTCTACATTAGTGCAGGTATTGCATATAAGGCAGTTAGCATCATACCTTTTCTCCTCTCTTTGCTTCTGCCATAGTCACTACCTGTATCCTCATCATTTTCAGAGCGGTCCCTGAGAATGAAATTAGATTTTTATACATTAGCAGCGGTTAAATAATTCACTTACCTCTTGCACGATACTTTTATATTACACTATATGCTGTGCACTCACCTTTTCTTCTGGTGTTTTTCATTTTCCTTTAGTTTCAGTCGTTCCTCCTCTTTCCGCTTCTTATAGTAGAGCTTCGTTGCGCATCTATTTTGACAATTTACAGAGATAGGAGTTTGAAAACTCCATAAGTAGAAACATTTCATGATTCCAAGAGAAAAATCATATTCTTACCACATTTCTTCTAAGCATAATTTCTTCTAATCATAATATATTATGCAAAATCGAGTTTTTCTCGAGAGACGAAAGCCATTAATTAATTTCCATTTCCAGAGCGAAAAGTTAGGCAAAACTTAATCCACATGTGAAACAACAGAAAAACAAAAACAAAGGTCAACTACCCAGTTTATATACAACGGATTCTTTGAAAATGAATTCATGATAAGCACAACCAATAAGTTCAATCCATTGAATTTCTTATCTACATAGGAATATTTTCTAAAGAAAAAGGTTTTTCTGATACTCATCCAAAGTATGCCATTGCCAAATAGAGCATGAACTTAGTTTGTTTTCAGCTATATTGCTACCTTCTTTTCCCTGCGTACACGATCACTTGATACTTTCGATGAAAAGTTTTTAAGCATATCAGTAAGTATAACAGTACAGATGACTAAGACAAGTCTATCCAAATTATTAATAACATCACAACAGTTGGATGGTGATTAAAGACTAAAAATAATTACAAATATTAAAACCAAAAGGAGTTTCACCCACCTACCTCTCACAAGCTACTAATTTCACCAAGGCCTGCTTATTGTCTCCAGCTTCAAAATAGGAAAAGTTCACCTGAATACACATAAAACTTGGCAATGAAAATGGGGGA